GAATGGAATTAAGAATGGAATAGAATTAAGAATGGAATAGAATTAAGAATGGAATGGAATAGAATTAAGAATGGAATAGAATTAAGAATGGAATAGAATTAAGAATGGAATGGAATTAAGAATGGAATAGAATTAAGAATGGAATAGAATTAAGAATGGAATGGAATTAAGAATGGAATAGAATTAAGAATGGAATAGAATTAAGAATGGAATGGAATAGAATAGAATAGAATTCTTTATTGGCCAAATGTGGTTGGAAAAGAATACAAAATTAAATATACCATAGTCAGCTATAGATAGAAAGAGACACTAGAGGGCAGTGTTGTATCATCAAATGCATAATGAACTTTCAGAATGATTTCTGCAGCCAGCAAAATTGACGCAGATATGGAATCCTTTCTGAGTGTGCATTTATTTAGGGATTTCATTCCCTCGTGGGGGATGAAGGACGAGTATGCAATCCTCCCACATTAACCAGTGGAAGGGCTTCTCTCCAGAAATCGTGGGGGCTCCATCACCGAAGGTTTCTAAGAAGAGACTAAATAGCCCCTTGTCTGAAATAGTATAGGATCTCCTGCTTGAGCAGGGGGCTGGACTAGAAGACCTCCAAGGTCCCTCCCAGCTCCTTCATTCTATTCAGGGAGAGGCAACTCAAGGTGAGAAGTCTGGAAGTCGAGTCATGGCAACTGGCAACTTTTTAAAAAACGCAACCACAACAGTCAGTCAAAGTTCTGGATGGCTCAGAATCTCCATTGACATACAGGTGAGAAACGTTACCCAAAAAACAAATTAGAAGCACGGCTGGAGGGTTTTTCTGGCCTATTTCACTCCTGCTCTCTCTTACTTTAGATTTGCTTTGAACTCTGCACGTCCTCTTGGGAAGCCACCAACCCCGTTTTCCCCACGAAGTGCTTGGCGCAGATGGGCGAGCAGCTGGGAGGGCCTGCAAGCAGAGAGGCTGGTGGAAAGAGCTCATCATTCACGATGGGCTGAGTGGCGAGAGCTACGGTCTCGAGATTTCCGAATGGTCTCCCATTCAAGTGCGAAGAGGTTTGGCGGTGCATCCCTTCTTGAGATGGGGCCTGCTTTGGCTGGGCGTTGCCCCTTGTTGAGACTGTGGTGAGAGCTGCAGAAGCTGGTAAAACAGCTACAACCAATAGCAGGACCTACACACGTAGTAAACCCTTGTCCACAGAGTTGGAAGGGGACCTCCCATACCACCTGCTAGGCTGCTACTCAGGAAAATAATTTCTAAGTAAGTATAGTCTTTATTGTCATTGTACTTAAATGCAACGAAATTGGTAATTTGAGACCTTAGCCGTCCTTCCCCAGAATTCACCCAACCTTGAAGTCATTCTTGTGGGTCATTGTTTCCACCATCTAATTCAGTGTTTCTCAACCTTGGCGACTTGAAGTCCCGTGGACTTCAAGTCGCCAAGGTTGAGAAACACTGAA